TGACCTGCAGAGAAAATAGCTTTCTAACATTCATTTTCCCCCCCCTTTCTCACAGAATGAATGTAAATGCAGTTTCTCAGGATGAATAGCTCTGCGATATTTCTTTTTCTTATAAATACACCCTTACGTTCTTTGGTTCCCCTCCCCCTCTCCTCAGTACTCAAAGATATTTCCATCTTCAGTTTTATAGGAATACAAAGGTGACAGAACTACCACGTTGTAACATAGCGGCTGATAAGTAAACAAAAGCTGCAGAAGATATACAGAGAAATACGCCGAGGGAACGCCATTGTTGGTTTTATCTGCCTCTCTAGCTCTGTTGCTGCCTAAGCTTTCCTAAACCCTTCATCCACGGACTGTCGGCAACGTTGTGCCTGAACGAAGGTACGGGGATCAGCCAGATTTGTATATAATATAAGGGGAACATTGATGGGGACTCTGATGTAATAAGGCTCCGATGAAAGGGGGACTCAAGTTTATTTGGAATTTCTTTGATTTCTTTTTCTGAAGTTTTTTTTCTCTGTTGTTCTACAGTAATCATATCATGCCGATTACAATAAAAACTCAATGTAACATAATTCATTTAAATTTGATTTGCTCATGATTTTTTTTGGCCGGCCAATAATTGTAAAATATGTTGTGACTCTCCTACTGGACTGGTGACAGTATGTAAAAAAAAAAAAAAGAAATATCTTAATTTTCCAAAAAATGTTAACAAAAAATTGCAACTTCAAAAAAACTCTCCGTGCCTCTTACTAAATACCTTGGACTGTACCATTTTCCAAATGGGTCATTTTGGGGGGGTATTTGTACTATTCTGGCGTTTCAAGCAGGGGCGGAGTGACCATTTGGAAACTCGAGCACAGCCCGAGGGCCTGGGGTCAGTAGGGGGCCCCATGAGATGCCCCTGGTACCTTTTGCATAGGCTTTTTTGAGTTTGGGCAAGGACACAGGGGCCCCATTATCCCCTATTGCCTGGGGGCCCCATGAGTTGTCAGTCTGCCCCTGGTTTTGAGCCTCAAGAAATGAGATTGTAAATCAGGACTGATCGATTGTCAGATATACACTATATTGCCCCAAGTATTGGGCCGCCGGCCTTTCCACGCACATGACCTTTAATGGCCCCCAGTCTTAGTCCGTAGGGTTCAATATTGAGTTGGCCCCGCCCTTTCCACACACATGACCTTTAATGGCCCCCCCAGTCTTAGTCCGTAGGGTTCAATATTGAGTTGGGGCCGGCCTTTCCACGCACATGACCTTTAATGGCCCCCAGTTTAGTCCGTAGGGTTCAATATTGAGTTGGCCCCGCCCTTTCCACACACATGACCTTTAATGGCCCCCCCAGTCTTAGTCCGTAGGGTTCAATATTGAGTTGGCCCCGCCCTTTGCACCTATAACAGCTTCAACTCTTCTGGGAAGGCCGTCCACAAGGTTTAGGAGGGTGTCTATGGGAAGGTTGGACCATTCTTCCAGAAGCACATTTGTCAGGTCAGGCACTGATGTCGGGGGGGGGGAGGCCTGGCTCGCAGTCTCCGCTCTAATTCATTCCAAAGGTGTTCTATGGGGTTGAGGTCAGGACTCTGTGCAGGACAGTCAAGTTCCTCCACCCCAAACTGGCTCCTCCATGTCTTTATGGACCTTGCTTTGTGCACTGGTGCGCAGTCATGTTGGAACAGGAAGGAGCCATCCCCAAACTCTTCCCACAAAGTTGGGGGCATGAAATTGTCCAAAATGTTGCCTGAAGAGTCCCCTTCACTGGAACTAGGGGACCAAGCCCAACGCCTGAAAAAGAACCCCACACCATAATCCCCCCTCCACCAAACTTTACACTTGGCACAATGCAGTCAGGCAAGTACCGTTCTCCTGGCAGCTGCCAAACCCAGACACATCCATCGGATTTGCAGACAGAGAAGCGTGATTGGTCACTCCAGAGAACACGTCTCCATTGCTCTAGAGTCCAGTGGCGGCGTGCATTACACCACAGCATCCGACGCTTTGCATTGCACTTGTGATGGGCTTTGATGCAGCTGCTCGGCCATGGAAACCCATTCCATGAAGGTCTCCATCTGAGGCCACACCAAGTTTGGAGGTCTTTAGCTATTGACTCTGCAGACAGTTGGCGACTTCTGCGCACTGTGCGCTTCAGCATGCGCTGACCCCCCTGTCATGTGACCACCAATTGGTGGCTGAGTGGCTGTTGTTCCCAGTTGCTTCCACTTTGTTATAATCCCACTAACAGTTGAGCGTGGAATATTTAGTAGCCAGGAAATGTCACGGATGGACTTATTGCCCAGGTGGCCACCTATCACGGGACCACGCTTGGAGTCACTGAGCTCCTGAGAGCGACCCATTCTTTCACCAATGTAGAAGCAGTCTGCATGCCTAGGGGCTTGATTGTATACACCTGTGTCCATGGAGGGGATTGGAACACCTGAATCACATCATTGGGAGGGGATTGGAACACCTGAATCACATGATATGGAGGGGATTGGAACACCTGAATCACATGATTGAGAGGGGATTGGAACACCTGAATCACATGATATGGAGGGGATTGGAACACCTGAATCACATGATTTGGAGGACGGGGCCAATACTTTTGGCAATATATGTGCATGCCCTTCCTGTTCCTGGGATGCAGTTATAATATATACAGACAGGTGCACTTTAAGCCCAAATGTAACTTGAAAGGCTTACTGACCTTCCTGTATACTGCGTAGTCTGTGCAGCAATTTGTTGATGAGATCAGATCTATCGAGAGATCCCTCTAACAGATCGTACCTTTATTACGACTGAAGCCCAGTCTCTGAATACTGCAGTACGTAATTAATGACTTGTAGTCATTGAAGTTATTCCCTGGAAGGGCCTCTCTGCTGGTGTGAAGGAGAGAAGGGAAGGCATTTGTATAATGACTGCCAATACAAGTAAATAAAGGACCCGAGGAAGGAGGAAAAGGTCAGCTTTTATTGGTGTCCATAAAATTCCATTATTGTACAGGGAGGAATCTGGGCTCAGGAGGAATGTCAGAATATTCTTTTATTGAAACAGTAGCACTTGAAATCCTCCGCTGGTACACATACCGTGAGTAGGAGCTTCAACATGACTGGGGCCAGAATATGTCGATGTTTATTTGCCTTTGGTTTTGTTATTCACTCTGAAGTTCAGTTTTTATCTATTCATGTTAGCCCACCTATAGATGAGTGACATCATATTGGGGTCACACCAATAAAGTCCCATGTTATCTGTATATATCATATTTTGTGACAGTGCTGCACCTTGTCACCCAGAGTTCACATCCATGTGGGTTGAGGGGCTCTGGAGTGGAGGAAGCTGGTTTTGCGGTTTTCTCCAGGATTGGTAACTCCTGGATTGCGCCCTGGAGCTCAGAGGCTTTGTAGAGACTTGAGAGGCTTGAAGCCTCTAACTCCTGGGTCCATGTTTTGATGGTAATAAGCACCTGTTGATTACACTTTTGTGCACAGGCCTTATGGTACGGGAGCTGGGTGGAGTTCACCCAGGGTTCTCACCCATGCAAGTTGAGGGGCTCTGGTGTGGAGAAAGCTGGTTTTGCAGTTTTCTCCAGTATTGGTAACTGCTGGTTGGGTCCTGGAGCTCCAAGGCTTTGAGATATAGGAGAGATGAAGCCTCCAATCCCTGGGTCCTTATTTCGATGCTAATAAGGACCTATTGATTACATAGGTGTGCACAGGCCTTATGCTATGGGAGGTGGGTAAAGTTCACCTAAGGTTCTCACCCATGCAGGTTCAGCGGCTCTGGAGTGAAGAAAACTGGTTTTGTGGTTTTCTCCAAGATTGGTAACTCCTGGATTGGGTCATGGAGCTCAGAGGCTTTGAGACTTAGGAGGGATTCCAACCTCTGGGTCCACATTTTGATGGTAATAAGCATTTGCTGATTGTGCAGCTGAGGACAGTCCTTTTGGTATGGGAGCTGGGTAGAGTTCACCCAGGGTTCTCACATATGAAGTTTGAAGGGCTCCAGGGTGGAGAAAACTGGTGAGTGAGTCCTGAAACCCAGAGGCTCTTTTAGAGACTTGGGAGGTATGACGCTTCTAACCCTTGAGCCATGTTTTTATGGTGATAATCACTTGCTGATTGTGCAGAGGCCTCATGGTATGAAAGCCAAGTAGAGTTCTCCAAGGGTTCTCTACCCTTGCAGTTTGAGAGACTCTGGAATGAAGAAAACTGGTTTTGCAGTTTTCTCCAGGATTGGTAACTCCTGGATTGGGTCCTGGCACCCAGAGGTTTTGTAGAGACTTTGGATCCAACACTGGGTCAATGTTTTGATGGTGATACACACCTTTTAATTGTGCAGATGTGTGCAGGCCTTATGGTATGGGAACTAAGTGGAGCCGGCCCAAGTTGGCCCAAATGTACTTTTTCCATTATTCCATTATTGAGTGATTCAGCCGCTGTAAGCGCTGTGTGGCGGCGCTATGTTCCAACAGTGGTACAGCCAAGTCCAGACTTTAGAGAAGCTTAACATATTTTCAAAGAATATGTAAAGCTTTAGGGTAGCCACCACTAAATTGTGAAATGCCGTCTGGATCAGTACCTCCAGGTTGTCCCCAGTGCATGTCCCCCCCCTTCTCTGCAGTTATTGGTTGCTAGGACTGCGTCCATTTTCAACCAATGGCATCACAGGTATTGCTCAACCCCTAGCATCACAAGAGGGTGGAAGTATGGAAGTAGAACCTCCTCTGTCCAGACCTGCAGCTTGCTATAGCTCCTGGATTCCACCCTCTGCCTGCCTGATGCTGAAAGGTATGGGGGCACATGATGGAAGGGGGCATGCTGATAGAGACACCTAATGTAAGAGGGGACTCTGATGGGGCACCATATGTAAGGGAGAATTCCGATGTGGACACCTGATGCAAGGGGTACTCTGATGGGAACACCAAATGCAAGGGGGCGTTCTGATGGGGACACCTGATGCAAGGGGGAGCTCTGATGGGGACACATGATGCTAAGGGGGGCGCTCTGATGGGGACACCTAAGGGGAACACCTGATTTTTTGGGGGCACCTGATATAAGGAGGGACTCTGATGGGGACACCTGATGTAAGGGAATGTTCTGATAGGGACCTCTGAAGTAAGGGGTAGCTCTGATGGGGACACCTGATGTAAGGGGGCACACTCTGATGGGGACACCTGATGTAAGGGGGCACTCTGATGAGGACACCTGATGTAAGGGGGCACTCTGATGGGGACAACTGATGTAAGGGGGCGCTCTGATGGGGACACCTGATGTAAGGGGGCACTCTGATGGGGACAGCTGATGTAAGGGGGACTCTGATGGGGACAGCTGATGTAAGGGGGGCACTCTGATGGGGACAGCTGATGCAAGGGGGTGCTTTGATGGAGATGCACCTGATGCAAGGGGGCACTCTGGTAGAACATCTGATGTAACACCTGATGTAGGGGGGGACTTTTGATGGGGGCACCTGATGTAGGGGAATACCTGATGTAAGGGGGACTCTGATGGGGAGACACCTGATGTAGGGGGGGGCATTTTGGACATGGGGGGCACTCTAGTAGGAACACCTGATGTAAGGGGGTCACTCTGATGTAAGGGGAACTCTGATGTAAGGGGGCACTCTAATGGGGACACCTGATGCGGAAACCTGATGCAAGGGGGCACTTTTATGGCGATACCTGATGCAAGGGGGCATTCTGGTAGGGACACCTGATGTAAGGGGGCACTATAGTAGGAACACCTGATGTAGGGGGGGATTTTGATGGGGTCACCTGATGTAAGGGGAACTCTGATGAGACACCTGATTTTATGGGGACACCTGATATAAGGAGGGACCCTAATGGGGACACCTGGTGTAAGGAAATGTTCTGACTGGGACCTCTGAAATAAGGGGTAGCTCTGCTGGGGACACCCGATCTAAGGGAGCACTCTGATGGGGACACCTGATGTAAGGGAGACATTATGTAAGGGAGCACTTTGGTAGGGACACATGATGTAAGGGGGCACTCTGATGGGGACACCTAATGCAAGGGGCACTCTGATGGGGACACCTGATACGGACACCTGATGTAGGGGGGGGATTGTGATGGGGCACTCTGATGGGGACACCTGATGTGTGGGGGGGGGGGGGGATTATGATGGGGCACTCTGATGGGGACACCTGATGTGGGGGGGGGGGGGATTGTGATGGGACACTCTGATGGGGACACCTGATGTGGGAGGGGGATTGTGATGGGGTACTCTGATGGGGACACCTGATGTAAGGGGGACATTATGTAAGCGAGCACTCTGGTAGGGACATCTGATGCAAGGGACACTCTGATGGGACACCTGATGTACGGGGGACATGATGTAAGGGAGCACTCTTTGATAGGGATACTGATGCAAGGGGGCACTCTGATGGGGACACCTGATACGGACACCTGATGTAGGGGGCGCTTTGAGGATTGTGATGGGGGCACCTGATGTAAGGGGGCACTCTGATGGGGATACGTGATGTAGGGGGGGATTGTGATGGGGGCACCTGATGTAAGAGGAGCTCTGATGGGGACACTTGATGTAGGGGGGGATTGTGATGGGGCACCTGATAAGGGGAACTCTGAAGAGGGGGCAGCTCTGATGGGGACACCTGATGTAGGGGGGTTTGTGGTGGGGCACCTGATGTAAGGGGAACTCTGATGTAAGGGGGCACTCTGATGGGGACACCTGATGTAGGGGGGGATTGTGATGGGGCACCTGATGTAAGGGGAACTCTGATGTAAGGGGGCACTCTGATGGGGACACCTGATGTGGGGGGGATTGTGATGTGGGGGCACCTGATGTAAGGGGAACTCTGATGTAAGGGGGCACTCTGATGGGGACACCTGATGTGGGGGGGGATTGTGATGGGGGCACCTGATGTAAGGGGAACTCTGATGTAAGGGGGCACTCTGATGGGGGTCTATTTATTGATAGACATACAATGACTGCATATCATACAAATCCCTAGTCGCAGCACAAACATGAGACTCAGACCACTGCTGGGAGAACATTTTACCTAAGGGACCTCCTTGAATTTGAATTCAGTATCTGTGCTGTAGGGGATGAAGCTCTTCTGCTCAGAGCCCATGAACCGTGTAATGTATATCTTCCTCCTGAACTCTAAGTAAATAAAGACTGAGGATTCATAATCTGCTTCCCCTGACCATGTGTTTGTATGTACTGGTGGAAATTACTTGTGTCAAATTTGTTCTTGCTGATGGTCAATAAAGAGTGGTTTCCCTCTGACAATAAATGGATTTACGGTTGGCCATCCTCAATCACGGCAGATAAATCTCAGGATTGAGCATTGACAAATCCGGCGCTCCTCTCCCACTCTTGGCGTGTGTTCCAGATAATAGAGTAGAGCGCCGGGTCTCCGGAGATGTCCAGACCTACTTCTGCATTCACACCGGTGATCCACAGGCCTCGCCGACAACAAGACCTGCCACTCGCCATTTCAAATCATCCGCTTTAATAGGATCCCGTGTGAGCGGTCGCCGGCACGCCATCAGCAATTTCAGAAACAAGAGATGAAGTTGCGGCGTGTTAGGTTTCGAATTTTGGTAAACACGCCGTCGCTCCTTTTTTTTTTTTTTTTTTTTATTACAAGGCAGCGTTAACAGGGCAGTTTCCAGTTTTATTTTCAAAAGTACGTCGACTTTATGGCGGAAGGAATCGCGGTATGTAAAATGGATCCGAACCAACAATGCCGCGCGGCCCGTTTATTATAGTACAATTTGTTATTATGAAAGTGTCACAAAATAAATGGAACATCGCGCGCTATAACCGGCAGAGGGGGATTTGTATTGCGCCGTTAACAGAATATCGTATACGTGGCGGTGGAAATGGCGTGAAAGAGAAGGTGGCAATAAAACAGCCCTGAATTATATCAGGAGAACACGAGGAGCATTTCCACATTGCTAATCACATTGCTGTCATATTCTGGAGGTGGGCCGGGCGCTGTTTTCCCATTGCGGTGATTGCGCGTAGCAGGCGTACATGCGCACGGGAGCGTGCCCAAACCTTGCACAGCATCTGTGCGCATTTCCATGAGCATTAGTGCAACCATGTTGAATGCACAACGGGGATCCACCCTCCTCTGCAGCCGGTCCCCCTACTTGTGTGTTAGCTGTCCCCCCCCATTGGCGGCCCTGCCGCGCTCACACCCACGGTGTCCCTTCTGCCTGGGGGGGTGGCATTGCCTACTGTAAAATGCCACCCAAAACAAACCCCTTGTTTGCTTTGCGGCAGATACACCCATGTGTGTAGCATGTGTGCGCGATCATGAATACATGCACACGGGAGCGTTCCCAAACCTTACACAGTATCTGCACGCATTTCCATACACATTAGTGTGACCAGGTTGAGCGCACAACATGGACTCACCTTTCTCTGCAGCCGGTCCCCCTACGTGTGTGTTAGCTGCCCCCCCCCCCCAAGATGGGGGCCCTGCCGCTCACACCCACTGTGTCCCTTTTGCCTGGGAAGGTAGCGTCGCCCACTGTAAAATGTCACCCAAGACAAACCCCTTGTTTGCTTCACGGCAGATACACCCATGTGTGTAGCAGACGTGCGCAACCACGTACATGCGCATGGAAGTACGACCAAACCCTACACAGCATCTGCGCGCATTTCCATGCACATTAGCGCGACTATGTTGAGTGCACAACGGGGATCCGCCCACCACTCCACCCTCCTGTGCAGTTGGTCCCCCTACTTGAGTCAATGGCGGCCCTGCTGCTCACACTCACGGTGGCCCTTTGGCCTGGGGGGGGGGGGATGGTGTCGCGCCTACTGTAAAATGTCACTCAAGACAAACCCCTTGTTTGCTTCATGGCAGATACACCCATGTGCATAGCAGGAGTGCGTGATCGTGCGTACATGTGCACGGAAACGCGCCCAAACCTTGCACAGCATCTGCGCGCATTTCCATGCACATTAGCGTGACCATGTTGAATGCACAACGAGGATCCGCCCACCACCCCGCCCTCCTCTGCAGCCGGTCCCCCTACTTGTGCGTTAGCTGTACCCCCGATTGGCGGTCCTGCTGCTCACACCCACAGTGTCCCTTTTGCCTGGTGGGGTGGCGTCGCACATGCGCACATGTGCACAGGAGCGCAACCAAACCTTACACAGCATCTGCGCGCATTTCCATGCATATTAGTGCAACCATGTTGAGTGCACAATGGGAATTCACCTTTCTCTACAGCCGGTCCCCCTACTTGTGTGTTAGCTGCCCCCCCCCCCCCCCCGATGGGGGCCCTGCTGCTCACACCCACAGTGTCCCTTTTGCCTGGGCGGGGGGTGGCGTCGCCCACTGTAAAATGCCACCCAAGACAAACCTCTTGTTTGCTTTGTGGCAGATACACCCATGTGTGTAGCAGGCATACGCAATTGCGCGCACAGGAGTGCGCCCAAACCTTACACCGCATCTGCACGCATTTCCGTGCACATTAGCGCGACCATGTTGAGTGTTGGCAGACTTCTGGGAGATACTGTATATATATATATATATCCAGGGGATATATATATGTATATATATATTATAGACATATAGATAGATAGATAGATATATATACACATACATACACATTGTATACAGTCCAGGGGAGGGGGGGACTCACTTCTGGGAGATACTGTATATATATATATATAGATTGTATACAGTCCGGGGAGGGGGGACTCACTTCTGGGAGATACTGTATATATATATATATATATATATAGATTGTATACAGTCCAGGGGAGGGGGGGACTCACTTCTGGGAGATGCTGTATATATATATATATATATATATAGATTGTATACAGTCCAGGGGAGGGGGGACTCACTTCTGGGAGATACTGTATATATATATATATATATATATATAGATTGTATACAGTCCAGGGGAGGGGGGGACTCACTTCTGGGAGATACTGTATATATATATATAGATTGTATACAGTCCAGGGGAGGGGGGACTCACTTCTGGGAGATACTGTATATATATATATATATATATATATATATATATAGATTGTATACAGTCCAGGGGAGGGGGGGGGGGGGGCTCACTTCTGGGAGATACTGTATATATATATATAGATTGTATACAGTCCAGGGGAGGGGGGGGACTCACTTCTGGGAGATACTGTATATATATATATATATAGATTGTATACAGTCCAGGGGAGGGGGGACTCACTTCTGGGAGATACTGTATATGTATATATATATATAGATTGTATACAGTCCGGGGAGGGGGGACTCACTTCTGGGAGATACTGTATATATATATATAGATTGTATACAGTCCGGGGAGGGGGGACTCACTTCTGGGAGATACTGTATATATATATATATATAGATTGTATACAGTCCAGGGGAGGGGGGACTCACTTCTGGGAGATACTGTATATTATATATATATATACACATTGTATACAGTCCGGGGGGGGGGGACTCACTTCTGGGAGATACTGTATATATATATATAGATTGTATACAGTCCAGGGGAGGGGGGGACTCACTTCTGGGAGATACTGTATATATATATATATAGATTGTATACAGTCCAGGGGGGGGGGACTCACTTCTGGGAGATACTGTATATATACACACATTGTATCAGGGGCAGACTGACAACTCATGGGGCCCCTGGGCAATAGGGGATCATGGGGCCCCAGTGTCCTTGCCCAAACTCAAAAAAGCCTATGAAAATGGTACCAGGGGCATCTCATGGGGCCCCCTACTGACCCCGGGCCCTCGGGCAGTGCCCGAGTTTCCAAATGGTCAGTCCGCCACTGCATTGTATACATTGTATACAGTCTGGGGGAGGGGGGGGACTCACTTCTGGGAGATACTGTACATTTATATGTATACATTTTAGTAGAATGATACAATTGTACAATTATGAAGCATATCATAATGTTCTTCCGTGCTCCGGTCATGATACCTCCTCTGAGCAGATTGCCGCCGATCCTTCGGCGCATTGGGCGGTGCTCTCCATAATCCTGGCTGCGGTTTCATTATAGTCACAACGACACAATACCTGACAGTACAAGGACATAGGTCTCGCTAGGAAGCCTTTGGAGACTTACTATTCTGGGCATGCAGGAGACCTATAAGCTGTATTATGAGCGGCTGCCTGAGTACATCAGCGGTTGCGCGGTGCGCTCGGTGCCCGGGTGTGACAGGTCGCGTACGGAGGCTGTGCTATTTTCAGTCCTGCTTTGATGTTGGCGTGGAATGACACGGTTGCAGATGCCGTTGTGTTTTTTTATGAGATTGCGAGTTCTTACAAGATCCCATGAGGTCCATGCCCAGATGTCCCCTGCCTCGTGCCTTTCCTGCCTTTGAGGGACGTTCCTCTCCAGTAAATGGCCAGAGCGTCTCTCAGTTCACGTCTCCTCCTCAACTGGCTTTAACTTCCAAATAACTCCAGCCAGAAGCCTCATTTTCCGCAAGTCCCAAGTGTGCTGCCCATTTATTGCGTCTGACACCCTGGATGTTCTAGCTATTGATTCCCGGCTATATTAAGGGTTTTTTTTTCTCCCCTCACATGCCCAAAGCTCCAGCACTTCACAAGCCCTCCAAGTGGCAATTAAGAATTGATGGTGACAATCTGTAGGCCATTGGAGCCGCTGTAAATTGAAGCCAAAATAAACACCGCCTGATTTTTTTTTTTTTCTTCCTGTGAATTTCGCAGCCAAACTGTTCCAGACGTCCTAATAGGATATTGGCTTCCATGGAGCTCCTAGTTTTATAAATAATTGCTTGCTGCTGTTTTTGTTTTTTTCTTCCCCTCCATTCACTGGGTGAAACATAAAATACCAGAGACACCGAGGGCCTTGTGTAATTGTGTGCTATGAGATTGTAGGACTTCTGGCAGCC